TGGCAAGAATCAAGAAACTGTAATGTGGCTGTTTTGTACTATACCAAGATGCATGGATGACTACATATAATGACCGCAGTTATCATCCTTTCCAAGTGGCGTACAATGGTAACAAACGAAGCTGATGCTACCTGAAGTCCCAGCCATCCGATTGCCATTCGTTACACACACGAAAAAAACAAGTTAGCCTACCATTTCTGTGTACTTAGTCACCTGATTGAAAGCTACGGTTGGCAAGGTAAACCGTAATTGAGTCATTCCGGCCGTTCAAAGCAGTGATCAAGAAAGACGTCCTTTTTGATCGGCTAAGGTGCTAGAACTACATATTGTGTACAAATCACAGTAAGCCAGTTTGACTTGTTGGCAAGAATCAAGAAGCTGTAAAGTGGCTGTTTTGTACTATACTAAAATGCGTGGATGGCTGCATGTATGACCGCAGTTATCATCCTTTCTAAGTGGCTTACAACAGTAACAAACGAAGCTGATGCTAATTGAAGTCCCAGCCATCCGATTATCATCCGTTACACACAGGAAAGAGCAACAAGTTACTCCACCATTTCTGTGCACTTAGTCACTTGACTGAAAGCTACGGTTAGCAAAGTAAACCGAAATTAAATCATTCCGATCGTTCAAAGCAGTGATCAGGGAAAACGTGCAGCTTACTGACGTACTTTTTTATCGGCTAAGGTGTTAGAACTACATATTGTCTACAAATCGCAGTAATTCCACATGTCAGAGGTTTCACAACTTACCGGTCGAGAGGTTTTCAGCAACCTTTGAGTAGTGCATTACGTCTGAATATATATCGTGATATCTCGCAGCCTGGTGCAGCACATTCAGTTGCCTGAAAACATCACAAATTCGCAAAACCAAATTTGTTTGCAACTGAGTGTATTTCTCTAATTACCGGTATTTTCTCTAACTAAAGAGCTCTTGAAATAAATTTATGGTCAATTGCGCTGAACTTTATTTATGAGTTTTCTGGTAATCTCTCCTGCTTGTACAATTCACTGGAGCACCATCCCACGGATACGTCTTATTCCCACTCATTCTGTTCTAGTTTTCTAAGTTAGTTAGAAATACACAAGCCAATCTATCTGAGTGCCACAAGCAGTAGTCCGTTCAGCGGGATCCAATCATATTCCGAATCGGTAGGCTTTTTCCGGAATATTCAGAGTAGTCCCTAAATAATCATGGCGCCCGTTAGCAATTCACACTCTAGAGTAATAAATCTGGTATTACGATGTTCAAGCGATCGTACGGTGTTTGAGTGAGCTACGGTATTCGGGCAACCCATAGATTTTTTGCTGTGTGTTAACTGGATCAACCAAACGGGTTTTCTTGCTTAACACTAGAATAATCTGTCATCAAAGCCGACATTTTACAGCATTTTAATTGGGTTCTGGATTAAAAATTGATAAAGTCTTATAATTTGTTCTGAGTTTACGAAGTGTGAAGTTCAACTACACATAGCATGAACGAAAGGACACACCTGGGGTGGGGTTCTAACGACTAAACTCTGGTTTATCCTATGGGTATTCCATCTACTAGGCCACTGAAGATGCTCACTATCCGCTACGTACTATGCACCTCACCGTACATTCTCTGCTGACTGGGATGACACTCGATGTCATTGGTGAGATCCCTGTGTGACTTCCACAAACAGCCGGAAGTTTACGTCACCAAAAAGCTTTGGTGTAGATTATTAGTAGATGAAAGGGGTCTTGATCGATTTTGAAATGAAAAATTCAAGCAGACGAAGGATAAACAAAAGTGCAAGCCCGGATTCGGAACCGAACCGGTGGCTGTCGAACGGGTGCTCTCTTGACAGGGGCTCGCTCTACATCTTAGCTTAATTTTATCAGCAAGATTTGAACTCTGATTAATTTACCATAGTAGATCCGTTTTTTTTCGAGTGTGATCTTGAATTTTCCGGCAAATACTCCAAGCTGTGCACGCACAATATATAAGGTAGCATGAGCCAGCATATTTCTAGTGGACAAAAGGTCAGGATATTGTGGTCATTTTGACTGATTTAGCTGGCAAGAACAGGTTAAGATAACTTTAAGCTGAATGTTCGCTCTCCTCTCAGTGTAGCTATGTGTAGAATGTGTAGAATGCAATCATGCACTGCTTTCAAGACGCCAGTGGTTCACCGGTTTCGAAGGCATACTTAAGTCCACGGACAACACCGCACATCATCAACAACAGCTCTAGCACAAAACCAAATAGACTGGTGTATACTCCAAATGACTTTCTTTCTGTTCAAGGCGTACGAACCATTTCTTTCAGTGGATCGCACCCCGAAAGTTCATGTGGGAAAATTACCTCTCCCTCCTGAAAGCATTGCAAAATGAACAGAGCTGAATATTGCTCGACCGTAATGCTGAATAGTGAGCAGATCAAAGCATCCCAGGTTATCGTAATTGCTAAACTACTTTTATCCACTGGATGTGGATAAAATGCAACGGGTGCAGTCTTCATTCTGAAGCTTATTCACGACACGTTTATCGGTGATATCCTGTCATGATATCACTTGACTGGGTCAGTCTGAAAACGGAGCTGGCTGATTCAAAATTAGGACGTTTCCACCAGTTTTACACCTTCTGTGCAACTCCGGGCGTCGAAAAAGTGTTCAACTGCGAACCATTTCGGATGTGGCTGCGTGCGGATCGAAAAAAGGACGAAGAATGAAGTCACAATTTAGACAAGAGCAATCAAAAAGCGTGAATTGACTTCAATTCAACAAGTAGAACGAAATACCTCTGGCCATTCTTTGCTATCGGAGTCAGCGAAGACATCAGGTTGTGACTGACGTCCCCTGTTACGCGGCTAACCAGTGCATTCCTACTGGATTGGAGTGAAATCACCCCCTTTCTGGTTCACAGGTGAAGGAGACAATGAGGAAGCTTGGAATTAAGTGGTACGACTCAGAGATAGATGTGCTATGACAACCCGGTAACCGGGCCGAGTTGGGTGCCCCTTGAGAATCAAGTGCTGGAAGAAAAGTTTTCATTATGCAAAATGAGGCACCAAAGTCGAAAAATTAAACGTACCGTAATACCCATCTGTCCGTTTTTAAGAAGTCTGAAGTCCAAAGTGAAATCCCGGTAGACGCAGAGTAACACACCACAAATACAGCCGTGTAGCAATTAATTTGCATCAGCTTTCGAGATTTATAGCTTCGTTGTAAATGTTGGCTTGACCAGATACTCTCAATGGTCATTAGATTTGGAGTAAAACATGGAATTTACTGCAATGGTTGTAATGACACGAGGTATCTTGCCATTTGTCTAAGATCACTCCCTGCGGCGACCCTGTCTCCAATACAACTGTGCAGTTACGCATATCTATCGCAGCGTTAGGATTTCCTCCCTCGCAGCAAAACAGTCTGCTTCTCGAAGACGCGATGGGAGAAAACCACCTCAACACCCGAAAGAGCTTATAATTTTGTAATGTACTACTCATAAGTTTGCTGAAAATCCATCGACAGCCCACGACCGGTTTCGCCCTTCTTGGGGCTCATCAGGTAGGCGCAGTCCCCGGGTTTCCGTCAACCTTATGTTCTACTTGAAACCAAATTGCACGAACTTAGCGAATATACACTCCTTTGCAAACTAATTTGGTTTTTCGAGGGATTCACCTGGAACCCAGCTGAATCTCTCGTTTGTGATGTTCCCAGGCGAAACCGGTCTTGGGCTGTCGACGGATTTTCAGCAACCTTATGAGTAGTGCATTACAAATACATACATGTATCGCGATACCTCGAATATCGTAGCGACTGAAACATGAAGCGACCCGGTGCAGCACATTCAGTTGCTGAGAGCATCACAAACGAGAGATTCAGCTGGGTTCCAGGTGAGTCTCTCGAAAAACCAAACTAGTTTGTAAATGAGTGTATATTAGCTTATAACTCTATTCACTTGTGATTTTGTGTTCAAGTGCAAAAATTGACCGATGGAGAACTAGGGATTGCGCCTACATGACGAGCCATAAGAGGTATGAAACCGGTAGTGAACTGTTCACATTCTCCTCGATCTTCTGAGGGAACGTGGATACTTTTCGAGAAGACAAATTAATGAAATAAAAGCCCGAAATATCTGCCCGTTTTGAAAGTCCTCTCATATTTGACTCACTCAACATGTCTTGTCACTTTTGTCCAGTCCATTGATTCACTCCCAAACAATAAATAAATCCGGAGCTCAACGTACGCCGTCGGATTTAACAGAAACTCCAACGTGCGGAGCGGTGTATCACACAAAAAACACCTGCCATTCATGACCGATTTCCGACAGTGACATCTCTTCAGGCTTGAAGTGCATGTACAAGGTACAAAGAATGGACATGACATGAAGCGCGGTGCCGGAACTCCCCCTCTATCCATCCTCCTCTCTGTCACTCGACTGTCGTTTGTGGTTTCCGCTTCGACCGTCCCTTGTTCCATTTCACCCGCTAAACTAACTGACAATGCAGGTCATGTTCTACAGATAAAGTGCAGCGGATGGGGGAGGAAACGAAAGGCTTGTATTTTCTACCTGGAACAGGTGGTTTCCCATCCCATGATCAGGATCAGAGTGATTTTCCTGTGGATGTCGTTCGGTTGGAGATTTGTGCCTCAATGGATTTGAGTGCAACACTAATTTCATTAGGGTTAATTCAGAGAATGGATTTCAGTCCTTCAGGCGATAAACTCGAGATTTGCAGACGAACTACAGTCTCCTTGATATTTTGTCGATTTGGGTACTGAATTGAACTGGTTGATCCAACATTACAGATAACCAGCTTGAGTTTGAGAAAATGTATGTATTCAGACCTTTGTTTTTGAAAGGGTTACACTGAACTAAGGATTCAAGAAGCAATGGGGTGTTTCGGGCAGTCACACCGAGGTGACACATTTAAAAGAGACCTATTATACATGTTAACACACTATAGTAGGAAACTACACTCCTGGATAGCACTATAGAACCGGTGAATTCCTAGAGAACGGAAGTGCATGTGATATGTTCATAAAGGAAACTGCTCACAAGGTTGCTAAAAGCTCTTCGACAGCCAACGACCGGTTTCGCCCTTCTTGGGGCTCATCAGGTAGGCGCAGTCTCCGAGTTTCCCTCAACCTTAAGTACTACTTGAATCCAAATTGGACTGTTTTCGAGAAATACACTCATTTGCAAATCAATTTGGCTTTAACGACAGACTCAACTGACGGAAACTCGGGGACTGCGCCTACCTGATGAGCCCCAAGAAGGGCGAAACCGGTCGATTGATTTGCAAATGAGTGTATTTCTTGAATGTGATATGGTTAGCAAATCACGAATAACACCGAAAATCCAATGACGAATTTGTCAGAGTGGAGCTTCGATCCAAGCACACTGAAAGTTGGAAGAAAAGTTATGTCCAGCTTAGAAGACCATTGTCGAGAGTTTTTTTCTCCTTCAGTAAATCTGGCCTAAATATCCTTTGTAATCACTACGCTACATTTTCAGTGCGTTTGTGACAGACATTTTGATTGAAGTTTCTTCACGAGTATGAAGTGAAGTGAATTCCGTTTGAGGCCTTTGTGAACTAACAAATTCAATATATTTTGCGGGGTCAAAACCCACGGAATATCAATACCATACTGAGAACACCTGTTGCTCTCTTAAAGCTGGTAAATTGGCCATTGAAATGGAAGCCTTTTCAGCCCATCCAGTGAGGGTATTGACCTTGCTAAAATGCATAAGACTCTGATATATTCTGATATACTGTCACTGGTTGTCATGAGTGGAAAAGATTGCGCGATAATCGAACGCTCCACACATCCGACAGACGAATTGCATTCCATCTTGTGAAGGTTTCGTACTGGGCAACACGCAGCCTTGAGCCGACTGATGCTCCGTAGCTCAGCGCATGTGCAAAGGTGCAAACGTCTGATTTGGTGGCCAATCTGATGCAAAAATGAAGAAATATCAACCGAGATTTCGTGTGCACATACGATCTGCAGTTATTTATAAAGGTTTTGAGGCAAAATAGCAGGACCACTTTGTCAAGAGCACCCTCGATTACGTGGCGCCATGAGGTGATCCCATAATTTCCCCCCACTTTTTAGAACTCTCAGGCAAGAGGATGAACGTTTCATTCTCATGAAATCTGGGTTTGATTTCCTAACCTGCAACGCCATCAATTCTAGAGATGGGAAGAACTTGAACGATCTCATAATGATCTCGTCGGGTGTAGATCACTCATGTGAACAACCCTCCTCCTGTCTTGGCGCAATTGTTCCGGTGAGTCTTTACCAAGTTTCGCTTACATCAAAGCTTATCAACAGTACATATCCTTGATCGTATGGGGCTCGAACCCCGGATTTCTGACGTGATAGGCGAGAATGCTCGCGATACCATATCAGCGCACACTGGGGGCACATATGAAGAGGCGAGCGTGTCCACGCTTGAGCGACGTGACTTGTTTACTTGAATGACGATCCAGTAACTGTTCTCTCATGCCAGATGTCCGGAGTTGAAACTATGGCATATCCAATAATATGCACTGCTGATGAACTCCAACAACATAGGAACTCGTGTGCAGTTTTCCCCCTTGGTGTGGATTCACCAGAATAATTGCGCCAGGACAAAAGGAGGATTGTTGATGTGAGCACAATCACCCTCAGCTGCTGTCCACGTCAGCGCCTGACTTCTAATGCGTTTATCTCAACACGCAAAAATAAGAAACATATCCTGCTCTGTTCGTTTCTCTGTTCCACAGCTTGCACTTCATCCAGATTTCAGTCAGTAGTGATATTATAATTCGCCTTAAGTTTTCAACATTTTACAAATACACTCATTTGCATATCAATTTGGTTTTGACGCGAGACTCACCTGGGACCCATCTGAATCTCTCGTTTATATGTTTTTTAGCAACTGAATGTGCTGCACCAGGCCGCCTCGTGTTTCAGTTGGCATGATATTTGAGATACCGCGCTACATGTATAGACGTATTACACCACTCGTAAGGTTGCTGAGGACTCTTCGACAGTTGACGACCGGATTCGCCCTTCTTGAAGCTCACCCGGTAGGCGTAGTCCATGATTTTTCGTCAGCCATACATTCTGCTTAAATCAATACCATTTGTTTGAAAACGTCATAAACGAGAGATTCGGATGGGTTCCAGATGAGTCTCCCGTCAAAATCAAATTGGCATGCAAATGAGTGTCGTTCGCCCATTTCGTGCAACTCATATTCGAGTAGAACATAAGGTTGACGGACGCTTGAGGACTGCGCCTACCTGATGAGCCACAAGAAGGGGGAGACCGGTCATAGGTTGTCAAAGAGTTTTCAACAACCTTATGAGTAGCGTGTTAAGTTCCACGTATTTTATTTTGCAGCATGAACACTGACAAATCGGTGTAGTTCGAGACTTGCTGGGTTCAAGAAAATACCGGACAGAATTGTGAAAGAACATCCTCGTGACTTAAACCTGTTGTGTTTGTCCGTACTGTATCCCTAACCAGATAAGAAATCCACCTAAATGGTCACAGTCATTTGTTCAATAACTTGCTATGTAAGTACCAGTTTCATCTCACTGCATAACTGTGTATCGTTTTTCTTGATTAAATATCTAGATAGCCCAATTAACCCATTGGAGTGCCCTGACCCTCATCAAATAGATCTAGTTTCCCAATTTTCATCACTCTCATTTCGTATCTGAACGATTCAATGAACTATTGGCTGCAAGTGTGCTTGGTATTTGCGGGGCGCTTAAATGAAGTTCACCTGGATGTATCTATTATTGTACTGTTTCAGTGAATGTGCTGCAAACGGTCAACTCGTACTTCATTTGGAATAACTTCCAAGGTATCGATGTACCTTCGTTTATCTTACACCCAATGTGTTAGTAATGTTTCCGATCTCATCTGTCTTGGGCTAATCAGATAGGCCCGACTTTTGTTGTTACTACAGTAGGATTTGAGCTCTGCTAGCCAACTGCTGGTCATTCTGAAGTCAGCGTATTCCAAAGCTTTAGGAGGTCACTGAGCAGCTGTCTTTCGAAAAAAATGTTCCAGAATTTACAGGCACCAGGAGCTGTATTTGCGTTTTCCTGTTTACTGATTATTGCGATTCCTTTTTCGTCCAACCGAACGCTATTTTTCTGAAGATTCGTCATTTCCAGGAGGTATTGGTCCATTAATGACTCACATCTCTTTCACAATATCCTTTGCAGACGGAACACTTATCGTCACTTTAGTAGCATGAAACCCGGGTTAAGGTTCTCGCAATTTCCCCCGCGTATGTGGTGACTGGCGCGATTGAAAATCCAGGCTTCCTCCTATCAAAGTAGCCGTCATTTCCTGCTTCACCTAATGTTAATGCATCGGGTTGCGCGTAAGACAATACGAAGTATGCAAGAGAACTTGTAGCCTCGAGTTTAACGAGGTTCGGATTTCACTCGCAGAGAACCAATGCGCTTCACTTCTAATTTTGAAGCGTGGGGTTAGTAGGTAGTGTTTTAAGACATGTTGCCTTCCAAAGGAATTTTTCTACCGTTTCGCGTCACATTCTAACTTCATTGTTAGAGGATTAGAATTCGTTTGGAGATCCCAAAATCCGGGTGGAGTACAGGCTGACCAACCTGTTCCACTCTGTTTAGCGCTTATCGTTTTAGCAATAATCTGACTTTAGTATAAAAGTACAAATTATCTTTTCGATTAAATCGATTTAATTCAATTAAAGGTGAATTTTCGGCAATGATATCGCACGTCAGTGATGAAATGTTCCCATGTACATCTAGGAATTTTTATGAAACTTATTAATGAGTATCTTGATGTCATATCTGACTGCTGTGCCCACTCGAGTGCCGACGACAACACAAAAGCTCTATTGCAGACAATCGAGTACGAATGTACAATGGCCTCGGGCTATAGAATAAAGGGCAACATTTGACCTTGATCCTTACTGGCGTTTAGTGGAGTTTGGGGATCTCGGTATGCTTTTGGAATTCTGGGGGTATTCTTCAGAAATCGGACCTTCCTGAAACTTAAAAAAATAAGCAAGACGTGAGGTTATTGTGCAGATGAGTCGAAGTAACCGGAAAAAGAGCGAAATAGAAAGTCATGGAATTGCGGTAGGTGAACCTTTTGGCGGAAGAAGCTGCGTGCTTGGCGCGAGTGAATGGAAAGTGTTCATGGTTTGTGAGTCACTGACAAAGACGCTTATGATGGGCACCTCCTTGGTTACAAACTTTGAGACATTTGTTACAGATGACAAGTGAGTTCATACAAACACATATGGGCTTCCCATTAAGTGTTTGGCATCCTTATTTTCCTATATCCCATACCGTATTCACTGAGTATAGCAATCTACTGAGATGACTCAGCGAGCAGATGTAGTCATCTGCCTGAAGGGGTTTGGGTACTTCCCAAGTCAATGGAGCTCCTGAAGATAGCATTTCGGACTCCCAGATGAACAATTTTCTTAGAAGCCAAAATCTATTCGTGTTTCACGTTAGCTTTGGAAACACCTTGAACATTATTCAGGCTAGCTTGTAGCGGACCGTAAAAATGCACCCTGGAGACTGAGTAGTCTACTGAATGCGACATTATGGCACACGCGATGTAGTGGTAAATAAATAAGACAGACAAATTTCATTGACATTTGTACTGCAATGATGCATTATTGATGAGTCTTCCGTGAAGAGGATAGACCGCATAAACCATCGGCTCCGTACGTACATAAAAAAACGCGGTCTCATTTGTCCACAGACCAGTGCATGCACATGTTAGTCCCGCGGGAGTGTACGTTTTTCCGATAGGGTGCACCTCTCAAAAAGACATGCGGAAACTAGGGGAATTTTCGAGGTTTCCCGCCGTAAGGCTCCGTCCATCAAGAGGTCTTGTGACACGGACTGCCTGAGGGGGAGAGAGGACCGACTGACTGAGTGCTGACTATGGTGGTTCGACGAAATCGCACAAGGATTCATGGTGTACAGCATTAGACGGATTGACAAATCAGGAATAACGTACAGGTTACACCTTATTGGTGATCGATAGGCGTAATGTGACATGTCAGTCAACGGCGTGACCGCGGAAATAAGCCAAGCTCTGCCACTGCAACAGGAAACAGTGGGATGGTAATTACCTTCGCAGTCAGTGATGTTGTTTCGACACCATCTCGGGATAATAGCCGTTTTTTGAAGTGGATTGATCAACAGTGAACCTAGAAAGCACTCAAGGTGTAATTTCGGAGACAAAGTAGTGTATCTAAAAACATGGGTAGTGCAAAGCATGTTTCATCGCGCTTGTCAATTTGTAATCAATTTAAATCGATTTTTGTAAATCATGCGATTTACTTGTGATGTGAGTTGTCAGCAGCCGACCGAAATCATTCGTTTCCAGTTATCAGTAGTCTGACATTGGATGAATGAAAAATGGAACACGAGGTGACCTGATTCAGCACATTCAGTTGAAGAAGTGATGAGGAGGTGAAGTGACACAGTGTGTGTAATGTCAGCCTGGTCTTATTGGTCTTAATTTGCTAGCGCATCAAATCACCAGACAGATGGTGGCTTCATTGTTGATCACCTGTGAGGCTGATTGAGTGATTGATTGATTGGTTGGTTGATTGATTGATTGATTGGTTGGTTGATCGAAACAAGCGAAGGACTTAGTTTGGTCTACTAGAAGGACAGTGGCATACTAGCCTATGTCTTATGCTTTGACGGGACTGTAGAGGTGAATTGGTTCACTGGGCTGTTTGAGGCAATCTCACCCAACTTCATTTTCCCATATCCACTTTCAAAAAGCCCGAATTTCATGAGATGCGGACCTGTCTTTGGCTTTTAACTTTACGGACGTGCGGTGCTGGAATTCCGCAGTGTGTTCGCCTAGTACTAGTTGCATGGGAATTAACGCCAAAACGGAGGACTGTTTTGTTACGTTCAAACTATGGTTAAAGTATATTCCAACATTACGAAGACCCACTCACCTTTCCTCCGTAAATAGCACGGCGTCAGCTTGTGTGTGAACAGCAGGTCCAACAGTTCTATAGCAAAAACCTTCTTAAGTTACCGCTGTTTTACTCGAATATTGGAAGCAGAAGACAACGAGGAAGCAAACCACGTCTGAAAATCTCCACATCCAGCAGTGTAACACCTGTCTTGGTTCCTGGCCGTACTACTAGTGATTCATTTTTGACGCAAACCAGGTGTCAGATTCCTCTATTTAACTTTCCCATGCTTCAGACGATTGACGGGTGTAATGTGACGGCTCATGCTGGATCACAGTAGTCCATCAACGCATTGGGTTGGAGGTCATCTCAACCACCATGGCTCACACTTTCAGGGATGTTCCGACTGTGTACAGCCTACCCACTGTGCAGCCGTCGAACAAGCTGGCCGCATTTGATCGATCACGTTATCACGTTTCGCGAAGACTTTCCAGCAAACAAGCATTCGCGATCACATGATATTTTCATAAAACTGAATCGGGTGCGAAATTTCCCCTTATCATTATGACTTTCTAGACCTGTGGGAGCCGCTCTTTGAACATTTACATGGGCTGCTCATCAACATTTGGGTCATTCTTGTGAGTATAAATTTATTAACTAATAACCCTCTTTTCGAGAAATACAGTCATTTGCCAATCGATTTGGTTTTACGAGAGACTTCAACTAAATCTCTGGTTTATGATATTCTACAATTGAATAAGCTGCGCACAGACCACTCATGTTTCAATTGGCACGATATTCGAGATATTGCAGTATATTTTCAAATGAGTATATTTCTCGAAAACAGTCCAATTTGGGTTCAAGTAGAACATGAGGTTGACGAAAACTCTGGGATTATGCCTACCTGATGAGCCCCAAGAAGGGCAAAACCGGTCGTGGTCTGTCGAAGAGTTTCCAGTAACCTTGTGAATAGTTTTCTTTATGATAATAACCCTATTATTCACACACAGATACACTCATACAAATGGACCATCATTGAGAAGAGTGTTTGGACGGATTTTCACGTTTCGCACCTGGGACCAAAGCTTCGTACAAAGTTCACCATGAATAAGACAGCGCAAAAGTACCCGAAGCAGCTGAGGGACTTTGACTTGTATTACTTACTTAAAACTATTTGATGCCTTCAACAAACACGTTATGGTATTCACCAGCCATACTGTTTTCCAGCTCACCATTCATTTCGTAAGACGAATGACAAACTGAAGTCGAATGTCAGCGATGTATGATGAGGAATACTATTCTTAAACCTTACTGTTTTATTGGGAAAGGAATCTGTATGATTTTCCACAATTCTGAAGCTCAGCGATTAAATCTTGTTTTGTGAGAGTAGAGATTCCACGATAGCTGAGAAACGATGTGAGTCTCTCCACATCTGTTGGGAATCATAGACAGTGGGTGCCCGAGGAAACTCCAGATAGAGTCGAACCAGAAATAACCAATAATATTAAACAGCAATGATGTTTTTTAGACATGATATAATCCAGTTCCAGTGGCATTTGCGTGGCGTTGAATGACAACTTCTATGCACTTTACCGTCCGATATGAAGACCTTACTATTAATTCAAGATTTGCTGCCCTCTTACGGGGCCGGGAATTTCGTTATTAGTTGTGCAACTGGCGGCAGGGGAATCTCGTCATTGTCCACACATTTCTTACCCCTTCTGTTATTATTACCGACGAAATCAGACTATTGTCTGTGCCCGGGGGAAGGGGCAGGCCCATTTCGCAGTACAACCTTTCACCTGTTCATAAACATAGGCTAGTAAATTGGATGGAAAAAGACATACACACAAGGTTTTGGTGCATGTGTGAATCTGTACCCGTGTAAAACTTCTTTGAGGTTGATCAAACTCCTCCTCCTGTCAGGCGAATTGCCACTGACGGCGCCCAACTGTAGTCAACCAACCTGACAGCGATTATTCTCCTTTCGGATAGAAAATCAATATTTGATACATTGAAAAGACGAGCTACTCCATTCTATTTGCGTCTGCTCTTCACGTCAGAATGACCAAAACTATCCTTCCTGCAGAGCTGGATTGGTGCGGCATATGTTTGTCAGCCACTTCAGAATGCTGTACAAGATTCTGTCTTGGCGAAACCCGAAAAGACACTTTGGGCCCCTGGAATGAGGCTACAGTTCGAGGGGGAACTAAGCACACGAGCAAAAGGCTTGGTCAAGTTTCACCTGAAAATGATTAATTGCTTGCAAACTGATTCCGATTAATCATTCAGTGGCATAGTCACACAAGTGCACCTTGAATTTGGTGTATTTTTCTCGTCACAGATGTGATGCATTTTCCTACAGTCTTGGCTGCCACCCTCCGCGGTAGTCGTGTCAGCTAGGATTAAGTGACTATAGCCAAATGTACAGCAGCGGGTAACATCAAAGAGTAGTGGAATAGTGGCTTGGGTGCATGTGGCGACCGACGGCTTTGGACTGCACAAAGGAAACCGTGTACGAATGTGCACTTTGGACAGGACAAATGGGAAGAAGAAACTGTGAATGTCAAGGACAGTGCTGGCTGAATATTCCACCAAAATGGAAAGATTTAATAAACCACAGGGTATCACTGATCGGTTTTATGTCAAGCGTAAATGAGCACAGTTCGTGTTCAGCCGGAAAAGAGTGTGAAAACCACTTTTTTTATAGAAATATGTCCTGATAATGTGCTATCCAATCATTCGTTGTGGAATGATTTACAATCTGACTGTTAACAACAATGTTGTTAGTTCCGCAGATATCTGTGTCGAGCGATCCGCTGAAGATAATTAACAGAAGTGCAAAAAACGCATGAAGCTTCCAGACTTTTCAGAACAACGGGATGAGTTTTGTTGTCTCTGCTCTACTGAAAAAGTATAAGTAACATGCTCGGATGGAAAATTCGGTCAGTGGCTCCCACCGTCGGGTGGACCGTAGACCTTTGATCACTTGAGCTGGGGTGTGTCATATGAGGATAACAAAGATTTATCTCACCAACGTGCGAGTTAAACACCGCCCACAGAGACAAAATGATACGTGTTCAGCCAACAACCTGAGGGACATTTGTCCGAAAATTGCCAGAGATTCGTGGGAAGGAGACGGCTGTACAATGTATTTAATCTTTTCAATATAAATTTAATACTCTTTTTGGATAAAATATCAACTGGAACAATACTACTGGTCACTAAAACATCTGGCGGCAATTATACGCTAACAAGATCGTACGACCCTTCTGTTGTTCTTGGATCATAGACTGAGTTATTGCGATAAAATGTGTAAAATCCGTTTTCGTTTGGCGAAAAACCATGCGGGTATTGTAAATTCTTGTCCGAATTTGTAAATGTGGGAAAAACTATGGGAAACCCCTTGTCACTTCAGTCTAACGTGCACGCTACCGCAGTGGATTAAGCTGATTGGTTAATTGCGCATTGAAAAATTTCTTTCAAATTTCAAATCCCAGTGAGCCAAAGTTAGTGACTTTTATTTTGTGAAGAAAGTTGGTAGTTAACTGTGTATAAGTGTCCTTGAAGATGTTCGCTTTTTTAACATTTTCCCGGCAAGTACACCATCAACATTGGGAAGGATGATAAGATAGCGTGAAAGTGACCAAACGACGGTTATTTTCTGACGGTAGGTACCATAGTTTTTTGGCTTTCTACAAATGTTTGAGTTGAAACTCATATACCATCGGATTAGACTAACTAATCACAGTCCTCATGTGTGAGGCCTCTTGGTTGTTGGGATGTGCTACTTGGTTGCTTAAATGTTCGCCGCGCTTGCCGACTATTTTTTAAACGTCCCGTCACCAGTTGAGGTGACATCGTCAGCCAATGAACCATCAGCTATCAATCATTTAAACAACTCCACTCGCCATCCAGACGACCAATTATAATCAAAAGTCAACTCGCGGCCACCAGAACCAACATATACCCGGACGTATCCCCTCAGCATCGACGATCTACTGGACCACAGAAAATCGCCACACCACTATGTGCCGAAGGTATCAACCCAATTGGCGAGGGAGCGTTTCCATCATAATCATCAAACGCATCAAAAATTCAAACCACCAGCAACCACCTCTGAAAATCCAACCTCAAGGTATTTGGGTTTCAACTCAACCAATCAATATTTTAGCTGTAAGTCGGCTGTAAGTTCGACTCGTGGCCGAACGGTTAAGCGTTCGAACTACTAGCCTGGAGGTCACGGGTTCGATACTCTCTGGAGTTTCGAGAGACGCACACTGCTGATGATTCCCAACAAGGATGAAACGCTTTTCAGTATAGATTGGCTTTACACACAACGCTTACACACCAATACTCCATTGCATCGCTACACACTTATGTTGTGATCTTAGTTGGTGACGAAGCCTTTGCAACACAACTACTAAGATTATAGGACAGTTCGGTAATCGACTTCACAATGTGTGCTACCAGCTGTAGCCCCCGTTTGTCAGATGTAACAGATCACAAGCTCTCGGTGTGTCGTGATGCGGTAGTTTTTATAAACTCATCTTGCATGTCACATTTGTGGTATTCGGGCACCATCATGGTCACAGAACTGCACTGCTAACGATCCCAGCAAAATGCGGAAGTCGAGGGCTCTCCATACCATTTGCGCTAGCATTTACGAAGGAAGTCATCGCAACTGCGACGAATCTCACAGTCACATACAATTGGGGCTAACCCCCTACCCACAATGAGATCAACAGGGATAGGCCATTTATGAGGCTGGCAATCTCCGGAAAGCCTACAAACTTCATTCATGTTTAGCGAATCACGCTGTTAGACTGACTCAGTCTCAGAAGGGTACCTCTTGTATGGATTTGCCTGTGTGCAGATCACGTTGTCCATTAAACTAGGAGACATTGTCTAAGCGTTACAAGTCCGCCTGTAAGCGATATGTTGTTGGTTGAATAGACGTGTCAATGTGTAGCACTGGAGAAGAGGGTAGGTGTAGATCTTATGCAACCCTTGAATATAAAACAAAAGAGATGTAAGACTCAGCAAAGTTTCATGTTATTTATCTGCGGTTGACGATCAAGCCACTCAGGGACCTGATTATCCTTTATTCACTTATACGACCAGGGTATACTCAGATTCTGGATAACTGCTGAGGGATGGATTGCTGTTCCAACAGCAACTGAACAGTGGCGTGGCTGATTGCTTGCATTAGTGGCTTTCTCAGTTGGTCATCGGCGCAAGCCTCACCCTGGTTCACACATTTTAGTACAGAGACTTCATTACCTACCGCTAACCGTCTCAAAACCAGGTTGACACAAACAACGCTCTACTTCACAATTTTAACGTATTTTTTGGTGCGAGAGCGTTTTAGGCTAACTAGTGAAGACCGGTATGGAAACCCTGGGAGGCCGGAATTGGAAGTCTGGCTTCCCATGCGAGACAGCCACTTATTTAAAGTCTTTTGTGTGTTTGAATGGCTGGAATGCCTCATGGCTAACTGCAACTTAGCCGAAAAAAGTCACTTTAGATTCTTGTGACTTGAAGCGGTCGTGTGGCTTCGTTCGGTTTTGTATCCACATTCCTAAAAATTTCTCACCCGGGTCTCATTTAGTTTCTTTGAAATGGACCCATTAGTGAGAATTTAGTACCAAGAGGGCTGGATGAGTTCATCCTAAACCTTTTGTGATAAAAAACGCCTTTGGACTGTTCTTTGATCGTGTAGATAAGAGTAGATTACTATCAGGCGATCGTGATTCTCTCGGGCAACCCGAAACCTTCGTTTTTGTGCATTGAGTCTTCAATGGTCTAATCACGTTAGTCTTGATCACACATGCCAGCCGATCGTTACGTGAACGGTTTCCACCTCTTTACTTGCGCCCCGCTCCGCTTTCTCTCAGCTTTACTTATA